GCCATCACCCCCACGTCCACAGCGCTGAAGACCATGCAGGGGCTGAGGAAAGACCTTCTGCCCCAGCTTATGGCTGCAGTGTGGGGAACAAGTCCCATTCCCCCTTTTTATAGAGAGCTGTTTCCGCCGGGGCTGGGAACATCACCCTGTGACAGGCGAAAGCCCAGTCACCACCACGGCTTTCCTTAGGCCATGCGCTGGGTCATGGGTAGGACTGCTGGCATAGCTGGGCATCCTGACACCGACCTGTGGACATTGCTTCTCCACACCAGTGCGGGACGGTGTTGGACCCAGGACCCCTCATCCAGCGTCCCAGCAAATGCGTACCAGTTGTGAGCATGTCCTGGAGCTGGGCAAGGCTGGGTTGTCTCCTCTGCCACTTCTCCAGGCACATCTTGCAACCCCCCATGCCAGGACAGAAAGTTTTCGGCTCTCCTTAAGAAACTGCCTGTTCCCATCGGGAATGAGCACCATTAGCTAAACCCAGCTGGGGAATATGCAGCTTGTCTGTGACCCCCGGCTGCATTGCCCCATCACATTTAGCTTCACCAGATTGCCCAGGTATCTTCTAGGTTGCTCACCTGGATTGCCCATGCAGATGTGATGTTCCCAGACCCCGAGCTCTCCACCAGCTCCTGCTGAGCTTTGCCTATCACCCTGCCCGCACCTCGCCCCATGTTGGGACCCGGGGACCCACGTGTTGGGCACAGCACACCTTCCCTTCCTGCGCACACAAGAACCCTTCTGGACACCTTGTTGCAGCATCGCAGCAGGTCACAGGTTTATTTTTAGTTCCCTTGGGCCCTAAGCCTTTGCTAAAAAAATCACTGCTCCTCACAAAATGTTTTCCCAGACGTTAAGTATGGCCTCACCCTTTGCCCATCCATCTCTGCCCTTGGCCTTGCACCTTGCAGGTTGCTTGGGTGATCGTTGCCTCTTCTGGCATTTACTCCTCGCTTTGTTCCTTCTTACAGCCCCCAAGGAGGTCACGGCAACACAAATAGCTTTGCCTTCTCCCTTTCCCGCAGTGGCACGCTTGTCCCCCTGTCCCATGGGTTGGCTGCCCTTGTCTTGGCTAGAGCTGGTACCAGCTGAATGGTGGTGGCCAACCATCTCCAGGCAAGTCTTCCCAGTGTCACTTCTGAGGCTGCGAGGTGGACAGTGTTACAGGCTCTGGTTAAACGCCCGCCCCGATGCAGTGGAGAATGTCTTACCAGTGGCATCTTCAGATGTCTTGTCCGAGCATTGCCAAATAGACCAGAAGGATCTCATGGGCCTCTCTGCTCAGCTATTATCCTTCTTTAGCTCAGTGTCCTTCTCTAAGAACAGGCCAATGCTTGTAGCAGGGTGTATTTTTTCCACACTTGGGTAGAATTTTCTGTGAAATCCGCTTTGCATAGTTTGGGTTTTTTTTACCAGTAATGTAAGGACGGGGAGCGGCTGCCCTGAGCCCGGCCATGGGGCCACACTGTGGTTTCACAGCTGCTCTGTGAGCTGGAGAAAGGACGTGCACCCTGAGCTGTGCTCACAGCATGGACCTGCCCTGAGACACTGGGTCCTTGTGCGTGGAAGCCCTTGATGGACTTCAGCCCATCATGCATTGGTATAACCATGCTTTCAGCCCCAGGTGGGCTTTTTTGGGCAGCATATGGCAATGAGCTCTGCAGCTTAATTTTGGCTTTATCAAGCAGAAGAATCCTCTTTTTATTTAGTTTCTTGTGTCCCTTGCCAGCACCTGGCCCTTAAGGACCAAATTTACAATACTGTTTCCCAATATTTGCAGCAGCTGCTCTGATGCACCTTCGGGGACAGGTTGGAGGATGAAGATCATGAGATGAGACTGTGCCTGTTGGGTAGGACTAACTGCGAAGGCCCCAAAGCACCATCCCCTTTCTGGCTCAACCACCCTTCTGCACACACTGTCCCTCCCTGAGGCCTGGGGAGGCTGAGCAGCATAGAGACCCGCGGGGGCAGCCTGTTAACAGGGAAGCTCACGGTGATGGGTAAAATGCAGCATGAGCCTGGAGGCTTTGAAGAAGCGTTTCTGGCAGAGAGCACCATCCCCTCCGCGGGCATCCTCATCCGTCCGGGAGTTTTGAGCAATCATTACGTCAATACAACCCGGCTGGGAGAGGGTACAGCGGAGCAGAGTGCTGCCTGTGGGGTGCACAGGCTGAGGCCACCGCCGCGTCCCCATCACGGTGATGGGTACAACCTGCTGCTCACCCCCCGCAGGCTGCTGGGGAGGGGAGACGCTCTGTACCTTTGTGGCCCCCGCATGGGCTTGGTGTCCCAGGAGGGAATTTTCATCCCCCGCATCCTCCTCCCACCTCAGCAGCCCCATCCCCAGGGAGCCAATGGCCGGGTGGCCCCGTGCATTAGCCCGACCTGTCATCCCGTTAATTACCTTCTGGCTAATCCCGGCTGAGCCAGGCTGGGGCGAGCAGGGCTCGACTGCCGGCCATGGCTGTGCACACTCCTCTGCCCCCCAACCTCCGCTGGGGCTTGGCGGCGTTCAGCAGCTCCCTCTTCATCAACAACAAGACGCGGGACAGCGGCGCTGCCCACACCTACCACCCAGGTACGGGCAGCGGGGCTCTGCGGCCACGGGGTTTTGGGGGTGGTGGTGTTGGTGGTGTTTGCTGTCGCTCCATCACTGTGAGCCTGCCCAGCACATCACCAAAGCACCCGGGTGCCTCTGAGCCAGGAGCACCCGATGGGTCCCTGCGTCCACCCGTTGATGAGGGGGAGCAAAAATAAGCACATTTAGTGCAAAAAGCCACTCTTGCCACCCAGCCGTCCGCCCAGGCACGGCGGGGGCTGTCGCTCTCCCCTCCGTGGGCTGTGAGGCAGAGGGTCCCTTGGGGCAGCGAGGCCCCGGGGGTGCGGGGCAGCCCAGCCCACCCTGCCTGCCCTGCCTAGCCCACGAGGTGCTGGCCAGCCTGCCCCTCCAGATGATGCTCTACTTCAACGTCTACTACTTCCCCGTCTGGTGTCTGGCTGAGGGGATGATGCTGCAGCTGAAGGTACCGTTCAGTGGGGCACATGGTGGGGGTGCGGTGTGAGCTTCTTTCTGCCCGACCTCCCTGGGCACACGTGAGCGGGGGAGAGGGAAGCGTCTTCTAAATTAATGGGTCCCCACGCACACAAACAACATGCCCTGTCCCCTGCAAGACAAGATGGCTCACCCCTGGCTCTCCGAAACGGAAATTCTGAGAACAACCACTGAACTCTCAAGGCAGGGAAAGTTAAACTGGGGAGGGCAGAGCGGGTAGGGCTGGGCACCAGCATGGGTGGAAGCCGGCAGAGCACGGCGAACTGGGAACAGGGCAAAGGGGATGGGTAGGTGGGCACGGGACACATGGGATGGGAAACGGGGCATGGAGAGCTGGGCATGGGGCACAGGGGCTGGCTGGGACGAGGCTGTGCCCCCGTTACAGTACCAGCTGCTGCCTCAGCACTACCAGTTCCTGCTGGTCACTGCCTTCCTCATCCTTACTCTGGCTGAGGGCTCCCGCCTCTACCTGGGCTACGTGGGGAACCTGCAGGAGAAGGTAAGTGCCCTCTCTCCACCCTGGCCCCTGTGCTCGGTGAGGGACAGCCCTGCTGGGGCGGGGGGGGGCTGTGGCTGTGCTGGCTGTCCCCTGGCTCGGACCTGAGTGCCCATCACTGCCCGTTCCTCCTGGAGCTGTCCTGGGAGGGAACTGCGGGTGCAGGGAGGACTGGGAGGCAGGGGAAAAAGGGGACCCACTCGCTCTCCTGCTGTATCACTCCCTGTGCTGTAGGTGAGATGCTCCAGCACTGGGCCAGACAGCAGCTGACCATGTCCAGGCACAGCTCCACGTAGCGAGGACGCCCCCAGTACCCAGAGTGGCCGATGCAGGGAGCTCCTGGGGCAGAGAGGGTCCCCCCACCCCACCACTGGCCTCTGCTCCCACAGGTGCCCGAGCTGGCCGGGTTCCTCCTCCTCTCCTTCCTGATCCAGCTCCCGCTCCTGCTCTCCCTGCTGACAGACAGCCATGTCATCCGTCTGCCGCTGGAGATGGCTGTGCACAGCCTTTTCCTGGCCTTCCTCCTCGCCGAGATTGTGGCTGCCTTCCTTGCACTGAAGACCATGACCAAGCAGCTGGCAGCACAGTTCTACCTGCGACAGTTCAAGGAGGGTGGTGGGGGACACCCAGGGCAGGGGGGCAGAGCGGGGCAGGCAGCCACGGAGGGGTGATGCTGCAGGACCCCTCCATCCCTCGCAGTCAGTGCCAGCAGAGAGCAGTAAACGGTGCTCGGACCCCACTGCGCCTCCACACACTGTGTTTTTGAGCCGGGCAGCTCGTGGGGTTCCTGGAGCACCCCATGCATCAGCACAGGGCTGCGCTCATCCTCACTGGGCATCAGCCCAGGGCTCAGCTCTTAAACCCTCCCTGAGCAGAGCCAACTTGGGGCAGGAGGGTGCAGCCCTGCGGCTCCCTGAGGAGGTCCCCAAAGGATCTGGGTTGCTGGTGTGAAGCCATCCCAGCTGGAAGCACGCAGGGCAATGTGAGGTGCGAGAGTGGCACCGCAAAACCTTCACAGCCCTCCCCCAGGGTCAGAGCCAGAGCAGAACCACCTTCCGCTTTCTGAACAGCTTTATTTTGTTCCACCCCTGTTTTCTGTGGGAAATCAATGCCCAGGGCTATCTGGAACGTGAAGTGCAAAGTGCTTTAAGCCTCTGGTGCTGCGCATGGGCCAGCTGCTCCCCCGCAAGCTCCGGTTCCCGCAGCATGGCTCTGCTTGCTCACCGGCCGGTCAGTGCTGGGAGCTGCATGTGGAGTGGCTTTGCGCTCCAGGAGCCAAGAACTTCAGCATGTTTGTCTCTAGGAAAGGCAGACCCTAACCCCAGCAGCACACACTCGGGCCACGAGAGCTGGGCCACCTCCACCCAGGCCACAGCCGTATCCCCATCACATCTACCTGGAGGTCACTCTGGAGCGAAGAGCACTTGCGGTGGAGTATTCCCAATGTCCCTAAGCCGCAGGTTCGGTCTTACCTTTAGGGGGTTTTGCCTGTGAAAGGAACAGGAGCATCTTAGTATACTAGAGACAAGGGGACAGCCCAGGCAGGTCCTGCGCTGCTCTGCACAGTCCCATGCGACAGATGCATTGCTTGAGACCCCCCCACCAGTCATGATTTGAGATTAATCATTAGGAACAACACTTTTTTCCCCCCCGAGTAGGATGATGCAGCCCACTAGGAGCTGAGGGATCTCTGTCCTCAGAGGTTTCCAAGAGTTGGCCAGATAAAGCCAAAGATGAGGAGGGACTTCTTTCCTGTGAGGGGGGCAGAGCAGTGGCACAGGCTGCCCAGAGAGGTGGGGGAGTCTCCCACTCTGGAGCCATTCCAAACCCGCCGGGACGCCGTCCTGTGCCACTGCTGGAGGTGCCCCTGCTCTGGCGGGGGGTGGCACTGGGGGAGCTCCAGAGGGCCCTTCCCACCCTCACCAGACTGTGACCCAAGCTGGGGCTGGCAGCTCTCCTGCTCTGTGGGGACCTCCCAGCCCACACCCTGCCCGGTTCACCAGGGCCGGGCAGCGCCAAAGCGGCAATCATGCACAGCAAGAAACTCTGTCACTGAACTGCAGCATCAACACTGACACAGCAGCAGGGCGCGCTCTGCAGAGCTGCCCTCTCTCCACACGGAGCACGGCCAGATTCAGTTCAGAAGAGGGCGAATAAACATGGAGCTGGGTGAGGTTTCTACGGTAAGGTGCCCTCAGGGACTCCGTGTTGTCTCATAGTTGAGGTGGTGGCACCAGCTGAGGTCTGGGCACCAGCTAGGTCCCTCTCTTCCGCTCTGCTGCCTGTCATCATTGAACTTGTAAGACTTTAATCTCTGTCAGGCTCAGTCCAGACCACCCACCAAGCCCAAGAGTTGAAAAACTAAGAACTGCTCCACCAGCGTTTTCCCAGGCCTTGCAAATTGAGTTTTACCCAAGGGGCAGAAAATAATTAAATTCACTTTCAAAACTTCACTCCAACCTCATCTCTCCGAAGTGGCTCCATCCTTACCTCCTCAAACTTCTCCTTCCAATAGAAGTCAGCCTTCGCATCCAGGTAGAGCAGAACCAGGTCACAGACCACCGTGGCCTGAAGACAGACAAACACAGCAGGGCAGTTAGCAGCGAAGCTTCCTGCAGGAGCACCAGGCCCTCTGCCCCTGCTCCCACTGAGCCCTGCAGCAGAACATGGGCCAAACTCCAGCACCTGGCCAGTGTTGGGGACAGCAAGCCTGACCTGCCTCTGGCCCCGGCCCCCCCAGCAGCTCCACCAGGTTCTCTCTGACCCCACCTGCTCCCATTAGCTCCACAGGAGGTTAGACATGATCATCTGGGCTGGTCCTGGTGGACAAGTTGCCCATGAGCCAGCAATGTGCCGTGGTGGCACCATGGGCCAAACTCCAGCACCTGGCCAGTGTTGGGGACAGCAAGCCTGACCTGCCTCTGGCCCCGGCCCCCCCAGCAGCTCCACCAGGTTCTCTCTGACCCCACCTGCTCCCATTAGCTCCACAGGAGGTTAGACATGATCATCTGGGCTGGTCCTGGTGGACAAGTTGCCCATGAGCCAGCAATGTGCCGTGGTGGCCAAGAAGGCCAATGGCATCCTGGGCTGCATTAAGAAGAGCACGGCCAGCAGGCCAAGGGAGGTGGTCCTCCACCTCTACTCTGCCCTGGTGAGGGCACATCTGGAGCACTGTGTCCAGTTCTGGGCTCCCCAATTCAAGAAAGACACGGAACTACTGGAGGGAGTTCAGTGGAGGGCTACAAAGATGCTCAGAGGACTGGAGCATCTCTCTTCTGATGAAAGGCTGAGAGCCGTGGGGCTGTTCACCCTGGAGAAGAGAAGGCTGAGAGGGGATCTCATCAATGATGATCAATGTCTAAAGGGGGGGTGGCAAGAGGATGGGGCCAGACTCTTTTCAGTGGTGCCCAGTGACAGGACAAGGGGCAACAGGCACAAACTGGAACACGGGAAATTCCATCTCAACATGAGGAAAACCTTCTTTACTTTGAGGGTGGCAGAGCACTGGCACAGGCTGCCCAGAGAGGCGGTTAAGTCTCCTTCTCTGGAGAGATTCAAAACCCGCCTGGACGTGATCATGTCCAACCTGCTCTGGGTGAGCTTTGGCAAGGGGTCAGAGTAGATGATCTCCAGCAGTCCCTTCCAACTCCTAACCTCACCCTGGGACGCAGGGTGAGGGCTGCTCCAGTGGAGAGCGGCCATCCCAGCCACATAAGGGACTGGAATGAGCACGTACGGTAGAAAAGAGGAGGCAGGTGGGAGAGACCAGTGTCCCCGTTACCCTGCTGAAAGGGAAGAGCCATAGAAGTGCTCTACAAGGGGCTGCCGCATCTCAACGACTGCAACACCATGTCCATGCTGGAGCCAGACATTGGCTCCCTTTACAGTCAGGGGAGAAGAACAGAGAGGAGGTGGTCTCTCATGAGGACCAAGGCAGCAGGAACAGACTAGCCAGCACCGCCCCAGCGATGCGCCTTCCCAGGGACAACACAAACACCCGGGCTCTGCGAGATGTGCCCCTGACAGTGCTCAGGATCCTTGATCCCGCAGTGTTGTTACTGCTAATGACCGCAAACAGAAAAATGGGAGCTAACACCCTTCCAGCCCATGTTCCCTCCCGGGCTGGTAGGGACCCAGGAAGCCTTGTGGCCAGGCAGGCCGGGGAAACAACAAATGAGTAGCAAATCCCAATCCACGGATTGGAAAGCAGGAGTGTATCTGGAGTACTCACAGCACCAAAGAATGCGATGCCAGTGCCGAAGCTCACAGCAGCGGGAATTATGTTGAACTTCCCAGCCTGGGGAGAAACAGTGGATGGAGGGGGAAGACAGTGGGTGGAAAGTGGTGAGAGGGTTGTGGGACAAGCCCTGCTGGGCAGTGTGCTTAAAGCCAGGGAGGCGCTGGTGGAAACAGGGACCATTTCTCCATGCCCAGCTGCAGGAACCTGACTGCTATTGCCTTGACCCAAGACCCCTCTGGCTGTCAACAAAGGGATTGAGGCAGCTCAGATTACTGTGACTCCTGCAGGGACAGCAGGAGCTTCCCTCCTGCTGCCACCCACAGAACTGCATCCCAGCGAACTCCAAACACAGCCCTGGTGTGGTGTCCCTCTGCTCAAATAAGTCTGGTATCTCTGAGGAAAGAGACTTTGGGGTTCCCATCTCTCTCCTGGCTATTCTCCCCTGCTCCACACCTCCCAGACCCGGTCTCACCACCCAGAAGTGGTGCACCCTGTCCTGCACCGTGTGCTTCACCCTCTTTGGGTGAAAAGGCCACTGCTAAGCATGACAGACCAGCTGTGGACATCTCTCAGGGTGGCAAGTCCCCTCAGCAACAGGCTCCACCTTGCACAGTTGAGTACTGAGTTTGTCAGTGATGCTGCACAAAGTAGCATCAGCCATGCCCATGCCTTTTCTCCCTGAGGGCACAATTAATCAAGAAGGGACTAATTGTCCAGGTTCAGAAAAGTCAAGGTTGATCTTTGCCAGGGTGCTCCCACCAGGAGATCCCCAGAGATACTCACAGGCCCTCTGCCCAAACGAGCTCACCTTGCCTACAGGGCCCAGCACTTCTCAACACCCATGTTAGATCCCCGAGGGAAGCCTCACTGCTCAGGGCATTACCAAGAAATTTCTCTTTAAACGGGAGAGACCATTTTTTTCCTGCTCTGCTTGGAAAACTCTGGAAAGAGGTGAAGAGCTCACCAGGGTGGGGAGAAGCGACGCCAGCAGGAAGCCATGGGGCTAGCGGCAGGAGAGCAGCAGGGAGCGGTGCGGGGAGTCAGCCCCGGTGATAAGGCTGTCAGGACTGCACATGCGGGGTCTGCAGAGGAGACGGTACCTGGCCGTGCACGGAGACGTCGAAGCGGATGCCATAGAGCTTCAGCAGGTTCCGGTAGAGCCGCCGCTGGGAGTCCCAGTAGTAGGAGGCAGTTCTGCGTGAGACATTGGATGCAGCTCAGAAAGCCACGGCAGCTCTGCGCAGGCAGAGAGGAAAGAGGGCTGCCTGTGCTGTACGATCACTGGGGCTACCACGTGCCTGTGCACACCTTGTGTCCTGCACAGCAATGCACATGCTGCCGTGACTCACTGGCTTGGCATCAGCATCCGGGCATCAGCATCCACTCAGCACCCAGCCCGGGGTCATTGGGAGCATGCTGCTCCCAGTATGTCCAGTTCAGGGTCAGCACGGGGATGGACAGCCACACATCCCTGCCCTCAGGCAGTTCCAAAGAGAGAGCTACAAGGTGCGGGAACTACCACAACACCCTGGTACTGACAGACCCTGCACTGAGTTACCACATCCCCATGTCCCTGCTGCTCCTTTCAGAGCACCACTCAGGAAAACTGAGATCTTGAACCACTGCCATGTGCTCAACTCACAGGCCTGTGTGGCCACTGTCGCAGCACCCTCACCTAAAATTGTACCTCCTGTCCTGCAGGCTGAAGGAGTACTGCGGCTGGCACTGGGCAGAGGGGTGATCCAGGTTGCAGTCCCACTCGATGCGAACGCCGATGCTCCCGCCCTGAAAAACACATGTTACTCCAGGAGAAGCATGGGATCAGAGATTTGCTGAGTTCTTTACTGTTCAGATGTTCACAGATCGCACATTCCCTTAGCATTCCAGGGGTCAGTCCTGTCCCCACCCCCTGCCCACATCCTTGGGGAGTTGAGTCATCTTCCATACTTTTAAAAAAAAACAAGTACCAGCAGTGCGAGGTCTCCAAAGGTCTCTCCAGCTGCCTCCACCATGTCACGGACACGGAAGATGGGGCAGAAGGGATTGAAGAACGGATCATACGTGCAGCTCTTGAAATAGGTGGGGTCACTGGTTTGCAAAGTATTGCACCTGAGACAGGAGGGAGAGAGGGAGCTGTGAGAGGCGGAGGTCAGGGAGCCCGGCTTCAGGACTGAAAAGGAGACTCTCTTGCTGGCGTGGGACTACTAATGCTCCTGCTTCAGAGGGAGACAGTCATTGCCTCCTCTAAAGCCTCAGTTGGAGAGAGGGTGGAGGGGAAGCAGCCCACAGGAATCACACATGGACTTATCACCGTTTACAGCATCTGCCATGGTCCTTCCCCTCCCAGCTCCTCTCCTCCACCTCTGCCTTTGTGCTTTTTTCCTCCCCAGCACCTAGCTCCCACCACTGTGAGATGTAATGACCCAGCTCTAGGGGCGATAACAGGGCAGCCCAGCTGCCCCAAGCCTCATCTCCTGCCAGAGTAAGGCAGCACAGTCAGCCTGCCTGGGGCATCAAGGCCAGTGCAGCCCTTCACTAGGCCTCTGTGAAACCATTTTGCAGGGACTAAAAGGCAAAAATATATGGGACAAAATGAGACCTTGGAAATGACTGGCATTCTCCGGCTCTGTCTTCAGCGCTCTACACAGGCAGACGGCCACCAGTCTCTCTCTCTGAGGGCTCCCCATCCCACTGCTCTTACATCTGCAAACACAGGTGCTGCTGAGGCGACCGGCATTCTCCTGAAAACACTATCCTGAACCGCAACTGCCCAAGCCACTGCCCATCCTGAATGGCACATAGCTTCTTAGCTGCTCAGCCCCAGGGCAGACAAGCTCAGCACAGAGGCTGGACTAAGATGCACGCAGAGTCTGGCTGGACAAGCCTCATACTTACTTGGAGAAGTTAAATTTGGTGAAGTGGACAGTATTTTTTATAAAAAGAGTGAAATTCTCCGCCTCAGCCAGAAGAGGTTTCCTGGAAAACAACCACCAACAAATTCAAATTTTGCACAGTGGCCAAGGCACGTCCCCATTCCCCTCACCCTGCAGTTTCTTCCACAATCCTGGGACTTTGGCTACAATGGACAGTTGCAAGAAATGCTCTTGCGTGGAGTTCTCTGGCCTTAACCAACCGGTAGATCAATGTCAAAGATCTCACTCAGTCTGGCTGCCCCTCAGGCAAGTATGGTCAGACCCCTTGTTACACAGAGCACAGAGGGAAGGAACCAGAGCTCTCAACGCCTGCTGTCCCCTCGCCCTGTGCCTTACCTGGGCAGTGTGTTGTTCTCCACAGGACACCAGCCGTAGATCTCACAGGTTGAATGGGTGGTGTTGAACATCACACATTTCCCAGTTTTTATCCCTAGAAATGAAACAATGTGTATCATTTGCTATTCCTTTTCAACACATCTTCTCTGCAGCTCCCCTCCTGGAATAGTGCCCTAGCCACTGGCTTGTTCTGGCCTTCTCAAAACCTGAACCACAAAGATGACCCTGGGATCATCTTTAGTGTTTTCTCCACCCAACAACTTCCCTGTGAAGGTTTCCCTCAAGGCCAAATGACAGGAGCTGTTTTACAAAGACAAGAAGCTGCTTACTGCTGTCAGCGCCTGTCTGTCCAGCGCAGCCTCTCCTGCCCTGTGGCTGCTGAAGCCACCCGCTCCCCAGCTGGGAACACGACAAGCTGGGGCAATCCCACATGCAAAGTTCTGGCGAAGTTTTAGAGCTGAAATATCCTTTTTCCAGCTGAACTCATATGGGCTGCTAATATTCACCAGCATGAAATAAAAGCCAGGTTTTATTACAAAAGGAAAACCTGCTAATCACACAGCACACCGGTTTCAATTCCGACAGCCAGTATCAGAAACAAAGCACCCCTGTATTTGTTGTGACAGTGCCCTGTGCCCGCAGCACCTGCTCATCCAGCCGTGACAGGTCTCTGTAAGGTTTTGCCAAGAATAAATGGCTGGAGAACACTTCCGTGCACACTTACAAAAAGCACTCAACTCAGGCAATAAGGCACCTTTGTGGATCTGTTTGCTGCCAAACATGGGGAACTAAATGATTTTATGGTTTTTTTGTTTTGTTTTGTTTTTAGCAAAACACCCAGTACCATTGCCACCAACCACTGGGTTTCCCATGGGACAGTCTGCATCTTCTGTGCACATCGCGTCAAGAATAGAAGGGCTCTGAGAGAGACAGAGAGAAGCGCTGTTACTGCGCTGCACAGCCGCCTGAGGCCACGCAGTCACTCACCCGCATTTCTGTGCTGCTGCTCCTGTTTCTCCAAGCACGGCCCAAGCACTTACAGAAGACATCCACCATGTCCAGACCCTGGACAGCCTCCAGCCAGTGAGAAGAGAGGCATCTCTGAGGGGCAATCCTTTCCGCCTGTCTCCACGCTCTTTGGGGTGCTCACCTCCTCTGCCACAGCAGCAGAGGAAGCCTCAGGAGCTAGCTTGGACCTTTCAGCTGGGACTGGGAACAAGCACAGTTTGGGTTTGGGAGGGCCTTAATGGCAGAGCCGATTAAGCACTTGGTAAATCAACACCACAATTTCCCTGGGGAAGGACCAAAGAGACCCTAAACACAGCATAACACAAGTTTTACAAAAGATGTGGAAAGCCTCACCCTCACTCTGGACCCATGATTGCCAGGAGCAGCGAAAACTCCTATTCTAACACAGAGAGATGACAGCAGGTGGGAGAATGAGTAACACCTTCTGCCAGCTACTCCCAGGCCATCACAGGAGTCACCAGCCCATCAGAAATCCAAATCCCCAAGCTCAGAGGGGCACAGAGGACCAAAGGCAGGTGGGGAAACACCAGTTATAGAGTCACAAGTGGGGGTCTCCCTGGGCCCCTCCAGAGCTGTCCCAGGACAGCCTCAGCCCCTTGGTCCAGGTGTGAAACCCACCATAATGAGCTGAGAGAAACTGCTCGCTGAAGCACCTTTGGGCTGGGGAGATGCACTGCCTAGCGGTATGGCAATCATTTATGGCATGCAGAAGAGACATTTAGGGGATAAGATGTTTAGGGGAGGAAGAAAAGGCATGGAAAGGAAGGGATCTAGGTGAGCTGAGAAGGAACAAACATTGGAAAATAGAGGGATAAAAGGATGCAAAGGACTGGTTGCATGTAAAGAGCTGCCCTGTGCCTCATCAGCACAGCCTGACCTGTCTTTGGACTAAACTCCATTTCTAACTATTTGCTTGGGCGAGAGGCTCTATTCTGCATGTGCATATGGGGGTCTAAATGCCAGAAGCTGGAGTGGGACCACTGGTCACAAAGGTCCAAGTGCCTGGGTACCACCAGCTACAGCAAGTGCAGGTGTGCTCACGAGTGAGTAATTCACAGCAAACGACAGGCTGAACGAGCCAGAGAGGAGGTGAAGGGGCCTGGGAGCGAGGGGGGGTGTCTAACTACCGGAGGGACCAGGAAGTCCTGTCTGACTGCTGGAGACAGGTGGCTACTGGATTCACACCCCTCATGCCTACTGATGGCCCACTCATAGCTTGAAGGACCCACCTGTAATGCTGTAATAAGCACTTATGAGAGCACTTTGTCGTCCTGGATTCAAATCAGATGTCATGGATTCAACCTCCAGAAGGAACCAGACAACACCCAGACGAGCATGTCAGTCCCTTCCCAAGTCCAGGTAACAAGACACATGACAAGTGCCACTTGGTAGACAGACACTTCTGGGTGTCCAGGGCATGCAAGCCGCAAAGCTTGGGAGAAATTCAGGTACTGAAGTCTGTGATGTCATTACAGAAACCCTAAAGCCTGGCCAAGAAGGTTTCAATCTCACCTACCACCTTTTAGCAGAAACGAGCCTTGAAAAAATATCTGTTGGTGCTGGCATTTTCTACAGGCACGATCCAAACCAGGATACATGTGCCACAAGCGCATTGTGAGTGAAGCGGAGAGATCTAGACTTGGTTAAAAGCACTCATTGGGCACTGGATCTCTGGTCCTAAAACTCTAAACCATTGCTGCATCTTGGTTGTGTAAGGGTCTAAAAGCTTGGGAAAATTAGGAGGAACAAGTTTTTCTAGGCACCTACTCAAGAAATGCAGGTTTTGGACAGGACAGGAATGCACGGCAGCATTCAGTACAGGTTTCTTGACAAGCAGGTGAACTAGTACACGTTCTCAGAAGACACCCCCCAGGGGGTTCACAGCAGAGCTCAGACGCTGCTCAGAGTTCATAGTTCCTGGGACAGGGGTGATTTCAGACAGGGGCAGCAATTATGTGCTTGTATTGACAGCAGAGACCTCTGCATAAATTCTTGGAACCTCACAGCTGGAAGGTTTATATTCACTTTCTATAGTCACAATTAAGTGGGTAGAAAAAGACTATATTCTTAATATTGTCAGAAACAATTGCTGACTCCCAGCCCTCGACAGCTATGCAGCCACATACCAGGGCCTGGGAAGCAAAGTGAACCTTCTTGGACAGCAAACCACCAGTAGCATCACATGGGAACAAAGAAGGATGAGGCTTCTCCCAAAGTCTAACAGGTCCCTCATCCCCTTAGGACACGGTCCTGTGCTGCTTGGGGCTGGGACCAGTGCTGCTCACATGTGCATCCATCAGCAGCATCTGGACCTGCAAGAGCTAAGCACAGCTGGATGTGTTAAATACCATTATTTAAGTGAAATGGTCCCTTAGCCCCAGCGTTTGCATCCGGACAGTGCATGCACTCTCTCCAACTAATGCCTCCTGGCTCCGTGTCTATTTTGATCATCTTCTTTAACCTTCAAAACTCCTTGCAAATAGAGGCAGAGGGTTTTGAGCCACTCAATATATTTGAGATCAACATTGAAAAGTCTCCCTAGGAGGTAAGTCACAGCTCAGCCAAAATCTGAGCTCAACACAGACATCAACTGCTGCAACAACCCGTTCTGCGTTCGGGTGCTGCCTCTGGCCCCATCCAGACTTTTCCCTGGTCTGCCAGCACAGAATTCTTTGGTAATTCAGAATATTCAGAACCTCCTGCAAAGTCAAAAGCTGCCACTGCTAAATCTTCAAAGCTTTCCAAACATGAATGTCAGCTACAGCCCCAAAGCCAGGAACTGAGAAGCTACTGGAGAGCAGCACGGGGTGAATGCTGTGACAGACACCCAGACACAGCACAGCACTGTAACAGGAAGAAGTGCTCTGCTCTCTCTGTATCCTAGGCTTGCACACTGCAAAAATAAGCATCCAGAGATGCTCGTGTGAGAGCCCTGAAATGCTCTACTGCACACATCTTCACCTAGGGACATTCCTGCCCCTGTCAGTCCTTTAGGACTTCTCAACATTTTAAAGAGGGATCATTAGCATCATTTTCCCTGCCCCAAACCCCAGGTTGCTCCTCCTCTTGCACAGCCTGCGGGCTGCGTTTGGAGAGCAGCCCAGCCCGGCAGCCTGCAGCACAGGGTGAGTTGGGAAGCAGGACCAGGCTGGGCATGGCACAGCAAAAGCCAAAGGGACCATTAGGACAAACAGTGCTTGGCTCAGGTACAAGGTGCCAGCAGTGACTTAGCTGAAAAGACATTTGCTCCTGTCTGCCAAGCAGGGTCCAGCTCGGGAGAGTTCACTTGAAGAGCTGGCCTGAATCCAGCCTTAAAGGGAAGATTTCTCCCAGAGAACATAGACCACTAAGTGCTGGCTGACTGGGAAACCACCTAGAGCCTGTGCTCTGTTCCTCCTAAAAATAGGATGCTAAGATGGAGAGGATACTAGTCCTGCAGCAGAGAGTTATAAAGGAAACATGGCACAGGTATCCATGGAGCGTGCGTAAAAGCGTTAGGAAAAATGGCAGAACAGAGGCAGAAGAATGGAGCAGCAAGTCAAGAAACGAAGAATGTGTATGAGACTCAAGAAGGAACACCGGTAACAGGTATTAGCTGGGGATGGCAGTACTGATGCCAGTTCAGTGTGGAGACGAAATCGTAACAGGGCAACACAGCTCAGCCTCCCCAGAGCAGCCCTTGTCCAGAGGCAGGAGAAAGCCTGTAAAGATCACAGTGTCACCACCCCTCCAGAAGCCCAGAGAGCAGGCGAGGACCCAACAGACCGTGTCCCTTGTCCTTCTGGTCACCACGAGTGACCCCGGCCAGACAGCTTGCATAGACCTCTTGCTTCGTGCGGGTATGACAGAGCAAGTGCAAATGAGCAAGTAACATCTATGGGGCAATGTAAATGAGGGCAGTCAGTGTTGCTAGGAATAAAATATCCATTTTTCCCTTCTGTCTGGTCTTGCACCAGGTTTTTCTGGTTCCTGTATGGCTACTGAGCAGCAGCACCCACTGGCTTTACAGACCGAACCCCACTTCAGCGCAGGGCTAAGGAACAGGGCGGCTCACTTACCTCGGGACAGGTGCCCTGGGCTTGCTTTGCTGTCGCGATGAAGTTGGTCACCAGAAAAAGCACATTTTCTCCCTGGGAAGCAAGAAGGCGCCTTCAGCGGGGGGATTTACACCCTCGTGCTCCTCAGCGGCAAAACAACCACCCCAGTTCCCTTTTTTCCGGCCTTATAATTTACAACGCTAACGCCCCCCTTTCCTTTCCCGAGGGGTTTTACCACAGCTTTTTGCCAACACCCTCTCTCCCTCCC